CTCTCGCACCCCCCCACACACACCTTCAGCCTCCACATCCCCAAGGCCCTGCCCCTCCACATCCACAGCTCTGCCCCTCCACATCCCCAAGGCCCTGCCCTGACTCCTGCAGCCCCCACACCGCCAGCCCCCTGCCCTGAAGGACTTTTAGAAAACACCAGGTAAGTCTTCTAGTTTACAATATAATTTTAAACTCCTGCTGAGTCTCCCCTTGCAAAATGCATTACTGCCTTAGTTAATCTTATCAATTCATTTTAATCATGCACTTTTTGGCTAGCACAGAAAACACAAAGATAAGAGTCTTGGAGTGTGTATATCAGTGTTTTACTCACCATGAAAGAAATTATCCATGAAAGTATTAGTAATTAGTTTATATAGTTCGTTCCCAGCAGGAAGTCAGCTCTCCAGGATAAATGTGACCATAGAATCACTTAACATATTGAACCTTGAATTGGCTCTGCTGAGATGCTTCCACTGCTTTGGTCAAAGTTTTAAGGTGTTTTCAAAGATGATGATGCAAGCCATTTATGTTATGTGCTAAAGTCCACCATGTGTGCAGCAGAGCATCAGTGAGTTATGAAACAGTATTAATTGATTACAAAGTCACTTGTCAGTTCCGTTGGAATCACTGTAAAAATGTACCACCGACTGAGACTAACTACTACCTCATTTTAATTTGAGGCCTAATATAGGGATGTTAAATGGTTATCCATAAGCATTTAACCTTACTGGCATGTTTACTGGCAACTGGTTAACCTGAGAGTAGGAACAGCCCCAACCCATGGTGGTCTGGCCAGCAGGACCCTGGAAGCCGTGCATGGTGGGGCCAGAACAGCCCCTAGCAACTCAGTGCAGCGGGAGCCAACACAGTCCCCGCTGCTTCCAGCCTCACCTGTACACAAGCTGGAGCAGCCACTAATGCCCAGGTTAGAGCAGCCCGGCATGTCAGGGGTGGGGCAGGAGCAGTCCCCCTGCCCACAGACAGTAATTAACTGGTTATTAACAGTCAGGGGTGGGGCAGGAGCAGTCCCCCTGCCCACAGACAGTGATTAACTGGTTATTAACAGTGATTAACTGGGGGGAGGGATAGCTCAGTGGTTGTGAGGATCCCTAGACTCCAGGTGGGACCAAAAAGGAGGGGTTCAGTGTGTGGGATGCTGGGGAGTGGAGTGAGGATGCATGGTCTGGGTGGGAGGACGGGTGAAGGAGTGAGATGGGGACATGATGGCTCGGCAGGAGGAAGGGTGGAGGAGTGGTCTTGGAGTGGAGGTGCAGGGGCTGGGCAGGAAGTAGGGTACAGGAATGGGCTGGTGATGGGGTCTGGATGAGAGATAGGGTGCAGGAGCAAGCTGGTGTGTGGGTGCAGGGTTTGGGCAAGTGCAGCCAGGAGATTGGGGTACTTACCTGACACCACTCCCCGAGGGAAGAGGTAGCTTCAGCACCCGTCCTCTATTCCCATTGGCCATGATTTCCAGCCAATGGGAGTAGTAGGGGTAGAGCCTGCTAGTGATGACACAAGTGGCTTCAGACTGGGGCAGAGAGGGAATAGCAGTGCACAGAGCTGCTTCCTGCACCCCGCCAGGCATAGGCACTCGGGCTTTCGTGTCTGCATACCAGAGACCTGGGCTTCAGCCCTAAATCTAGTTTCATAATCCAGCCCTGCCTTTATTGAGGTAGGCTACATCTACACTACTGAGTCGAAGAGGGGTGGTCAAAGCAGCTCTGAGCCTGACTTAGGTAGTTAACACTTGGGGCTTGTCCAGGGTGATGCACTCTATGAGTGTGTGATTTCTCAAGTGCACAAATGTATTGTGCATTTATTGGTTCATGTAAATCCTGCTAGCGCACTTTAGCATAGTGCTGTTTGAAACAGTAGTACATAAAAACACACTAGGGAACCGTTAGTGTGCACCAGCAGAGTTTACATGGACCAATCCATGTGCAACACAAATTTGTAGAGTTTAGAAATCACATCCTAATCGAGTGCAATGCCCTTCTGTGGAGAGAAGCCCTACACTGAGACCAGCAGGGCCTTAACAGAGACTCTTACTTTCTTCTCTGCTGGGCTGCCTGCTCCACCTGGAAGCCTCTGCCGACCTCACAAGTACTATGGCCCTTATTGCCACAGGCTGCCCCTGCACCAGCCTCACAGTCTCACCTTCTGCTGTCCTCTCTTATAGCCCGCTCAGGAGAGGACAGGCCATGCAGCAATCTTGAACCCTGCTGGAGTGAGGCACGTGGCTTCGTGGCAGTTCCAAATGCTGCATGGCATCTATTGCCTCCTGCAAGCTCTTCAGGTCCCCAAATACAGTGTAGGTCTTTTCAGTTACTGTATACTCCTCCTATAGGTCCTCCAGAGGGGAAGACACTGTCCTGCCTGGGGAGTCCTATGCAGTTCAAGTGCTGCTGCATGCCTTCTCTCCTCTTGTGTTGTGAGTGAGGCTCATGAATGTCTCCTCACCTTTCCCCATCAAACTTTTAAAATAAGGTCCCTGGGGCTGGGGTTGCTCCTGTTCTTACTTTATCCTTTTTAAAGGCAGAAGCTTGGTACAGGCAGGTAGTGGATATCTACAGAACTTCCCTTGTGAGGAAAATATAGGAAAAATAGTGAAGAAAAAGAAAACGAGAAGGGAAAGACGTTGTCAGTACAGCAGAAGATCAGAAGAGACAAGGTTTTGGGAACTTCTGAAGCTGCAAATTCAAATGATCGGTAGGGACTTTTCTTTGACACCCCTTGATGGAAAGAGCTCTCAAAGATTCTGAAAAGGTACCTATCTCTTGACTACATTTTATATAACTTCATGTTCTGGTTGCAACTTGCTTCCAGAGAGATTTCTGATTTCAACAACATGCCACATCACACCACCCACTGTATATTGTATCCCTTAGCCTGCCAACTCCATTCCCCTTACACAGGTGCAGTCTGGGTATGGCTTTGATAGGAATTACAGATCTTTGGATGTGGGGAGAAGAAAGGAACAATCACTTCTGACTCCTGCCTCCATACAACATTTCCTTCGTGGGAAGAAGAGTTCTGTTTGTTCCTAGTGTGATTCAGTATTGCAAAATCAGTTTGTGTGGGGGTGGAAGCATTTCACTCATTTGACAAGTGGCGAATCAGCCTGACAATGGCAGTCAAACAAGAGCAGTGCTATGGAATCTGGTTACAAAGATTCACTCCAGTTTCTACAATGGTAGCAGATGGTTTTTCCATAACTTAGTGAATGGTGAGTACCCAATTCCATAATTAATATAAATCAGGAAAGACCTGGGAAGTCGTATAGGAAACTTTATCGTGCCTGGAGTTTCTTGCAAAATGTTTAAGGTGGGATAAAGTTGCTATTGAAATGCAGGCAGGCGCCTTGTGTCTATAAAGCAAAGCTCTTAACAGAGGTAAACAAGATAGAAATGGATATTCTAACAAAAGAAATCAGAATGTACAACATGTTCCATAGTGGCATGGAATACAGAGTCCAGTGCAATAAAGAATAAAAGAGGGGATTACGCTGGCTGTAAGCAGATGGTATATACTTGCCTCTTTTATCAGATTCATAAATCTGGGTCCAAAACGCCATGGCTTGTGTCTGTGGCACTGCAGGGAGCTGACAGTCATTTGGGAGGCACGCTGGGAGGCCACTGCAACCATATAAACAGCATCATACATCAGAGCTGCTTCAGTCTGCATGAAAAACAGAAGGGGTTTTTTTAATTTACAGCTTTCTTCTCCTTACTCTTTTATCATCTCAGAATAAACATCCCATTCTACTTATGAGAAATTAGGGCTACTTTTTTTTTCTGAGACTCCCATATGAATCCAAGGTTAAAATAAAGAGACTGGCCTTGTTTCTTAAGCCTTGTATTAATTTTTGCTATGAGGTATTGCTAAGGAAAATATTTAACAATCAGATGGAAGAGAAAGGAAGTGATGTTTAGTGATTAAAGCACAGGAACAAGGAGATTTCCATTTTATTCCCCTCTCTGCTATACATTTCCTGCTGTAGGAAAGTCTTTTGGGTTAAAATTTTGACAAGTGCATTGTGTAAAATTTTGAAAAGTGATTTAGGAGCCTAAGTCCCATTTTTAGAAGTTCCTAAAACTCAGATTTTTATAAATTTTTGGATTCCTAAAGATGAAGAAATTTGCCTAGTTAGATTTTCAAATCCTACTAATTATCTCTCTATCACCATGTGCCTGGACACCTTTAAAATATGTCCTTTAGTCTCCTAAATCTCATTTAAAAATCTCTAGGATTTAGGAGCTTAAGTGTCTAGTCACTTTTGAAAATGGGACTTTGACACTTTTGAAAACTTTGCCCAAAGTGTTACTATAAGTCAATGGGACTTGTGTCACTGACAGATTTTTGAAAACTCCACTCTTACTTTCTGCCACAGTTGTCCTTTTATATTAAAGGGGGGTGATTTTTTTACTCATCTCATGGAGATGTTGTCAGAATTAATTCATTAGTATGCAACATTATTTATTTTAAAAATACTGACTAATTCAGAAATAAATTTGTGACAAAGAAAAAAATAATGACTTGCAGAGGAGAAACTGTACTCATTTATGCAAACTACTACATAGCTAACCCATCTTTTATTCTTTCTCTATGGTGTTCCTTTGGGAAATTAACAGATTTGATTCTTTGTCTGTTTCATTTACCTAAGTAAATTACAATGGCATCAGTCTTATCAGCGCTGGAAGCTTTTCCTGGCAATCAAATGTGATCCAAATATACCGACTAATCTTAAACTACTGAAAACAAGGAATCACTCCTGACACCTAGTCAGACTCTGCACCAAACATAGCTCCCACAATCAAAGCTAATAAAAAATGTTATAAATGGTGAGATGCAGGAGGCAGGAGCAGCCATACTGTGACACAAGCATCTTAAAAAGTTCCAAACAGATCCTTGTGACTAAGACTCTAATCCAGAGTCCACAAAGTCAGTGGAAAGACTCTCATTAACTTCAATAGGCTTTGGATCAGGCTTGAAAAATGAGGCTGACTAGGGCAAATTCATCTAGGGTTTGAATCAGTTTCACAAGTTACAAAATTTGGCCTAGAGAGTTTGAGGATTTCTGGTGGAAATGCTTCAGTGCAGATCTGTTTGCATCACCACTATAGTCATACCATGCCATTACTCCAAAATAAGATGGATATATTGTTTGTCTATGACAGCACCTGTTGGGTATGAAGCTGGAAACACTTGATCAAAGTTCACTGCTTTATAATTGTTAATATTCATCCATCTTGCTGCGTGACATTGAGCAAGTCACTTGTCCTCTCGGACTCTATCTCCTCTTTTGACTTTGTTTGTTTTGTCTATTAAGGCTGAATCATGTGGCTGCGCTGAGGAACGAGAGGGGCACTTTGCTCTGCTATGTTGATCACTCATATTGTGAATAGCTGTGTAGGGGAAAAAGTTGCTTATGTGGGACCGTGACACTCCCCGTATTGTACATGTGATCAGAAGTGAGTGGAGAATAGGTCTGGGCTGGCCAGCATAGTCCCTCCTCCTCCCCCAAGTGCCTTAGGAGAATACATGCAGTAGCCAATATAGACCTGATACTTATCTACTGGAGCAACTGGGAAGCAGATTGTGACTTAATCCCAATAAACACCCCAAATACATTCCTGGAAATGCAGTTTGAGTGGGGAAAGGCTGCACTGATACGAGAGATGGTAAAATATTGATGTGGATCACTGGTATGAATCTACAGCATTTCAAATCATCTCTGATGGTAGTCGATGGCATATGTGAAATGACTTGGTTTGTTGTTCTTCAACTTCAGTAACCACCAGTCAATGAAAAGGCCATACATTATATTGTCATGGGGTGAGAACTGTTTTCTCACCACTAGGAGTCAGTGTTAATATACTGCCCTACCAGGGTGGTAGTGCAAGCTTCAACTGCTGCCTATGTTATACCTGTTCTCTAGGTTTCATAGTTCAATAATAATTAGGATCATCACAAAAACATTTTTCCTGGCCGCTAGCTAATGTGGACTCGGGTGAGCTGATATTTTGTAAAAAACATGAAATAATAAAAGGCTCCTCTGCATTCACAACAAATGAGTGCGCCAACACATTTCTGAAAACACTTAAAAAGCAACAAAGGCCCTGTATCTCCTTAGGCCGTGTCCACACTCAGGGTTTTTTTCGGGAAAAGTAGCCTTTTCCCGAAAAAACTTCCCCTGCGTCCAGACTCAAGCCGCGTTCTTTCGAAATTATTTCGAAAGAACGCGGCTTTTCTTTCGATGGCGGTAAACCTCGTTTCACGAGGAAGAACGCCTTCCTTCGAAAGTTCCTCTTTCGAAGGAAGGCGTTCTTCAATGTAAAGAGGCCGTCTTCGAAAGAGAGCATCCAGACTCACTGGGTGCTCTCTTTCAAAAAAGCGGATTTTTCTTTCGAAAGATCCGCCTGCAGTCTAGACGCGATCTTTCGAAAGAGGCTCTTTCGAAAGAAGCCTGCAGTCTAGACATAGCCTTAGAGACTAACCAAAAAATATATAGATCATATCATGAGCTTTTGTGGGCACAACTCACTTCTTCAGATTAATATTAGAAAGCATAATCATTCTCCTGATGATGCACAACTTGTCCTAGCTTCATTGTTTAATGAATTACAGCAGTATTGTAGCTAATGGAATATGTAAACTTGCTATATATATTGAAAGTAAGCACAGCTGATTAGCAATCTTGTCTGTTTATATTGTTTCCGAATAGTAAGACATCTGAACAAACTTGGACATTCGGAAAAGGAAGGTTCTGTTTAATAAAAGAAAAGCTCTAAACTCTGTTTTCTTAGAACCTAGTCCTGCAATCAGATGTGTATAAATCAATGGTTCTGCCTGCACATATGCCTTTGCAAAACTGGGGCTTTAGACTCTAAGGGCATGTGTACACTAGGAAATTATTTTGAAATAAGCGTTATTCCTACTGGAAAGCAGGAGTTATTATATTGAAATAAGCAGCCCTTTATTTTGAAACAACAGGCTTGGTAGTGTGGACACTCCACTTATTATTTTGAAATAAGGACTAGTCGACAGGTCACTTCCCCCCTCCTCCACTTGCTTCCTCTATCAGATAGAGAGTATGTTTAGACTACATGCCTCTGCCTACCGAGGCATGTAAAATAGGCTACCCAACGTAATCAATGAAGCTGGGGTTTAAATATTTCCGGCTGGCTCAGCTGATTGTCGGCACAGCACGCGAGTTAAGACGAGGATCGGTCAACAAGGGAAGCCTTTGTCGACCGCTCCCTTATGCCTCGTGAAACAAGGTTTACAGGAGTAATCAACAAAGGCTTCCCTTGTCGACCGATCCACGTTTTGACTCGAGCGCTGTGCCGACAATCAGCTGAGCCAGCTCAGCGCAGCGGCCATTTTTATTTTAATGAAGCCGAGGATATTTAAATCCCAGCTTCATTGACTATGTCAGGTAGCCTATTTTACATGCCTCTGTTGGCAGAGGCATGTAGTCTAGATATACCCAGAGGCCACAAGAGAGATGAAAGAAGAGAATGAGGAGCAGTATGTACAAATGGAAAAGGGGAGCTGCCACTTTGAAATGCCACTGTGGCATTTCAAAGGGGCAGTGCCACATAGCTGATCCTGAGCTCTGTGCAGCGCCATCCCTTTGAAATACTGTGGTGACATTTCAAGGCAGTAGTGCTGCATGGAGCCCGGGATCAGCTGGGGAGTCCCCATCTGACCCCTGACTCCATGCAGCATGCCAGCTTTGAAATGTACAAGAGTTCCCAGCAGGGGCTCTTGTGCATTCCAAAGAGGAAGCTCAGCATGGAGCCTGGGTCCAGCGTGGGACTCGAGTCCCGCACTGACTCCAGGCACCATGCAGGCACTTCTGCTTTGAAATGCTCTTGTACATTTCAAAGGCGGAATGCGGAAGTGTCTATTGACTAGTTGAGTAGTCGATGGAAATTCCATCAACTACTTGACTAGTAAATTAATTGCTAGTTAACATCCCTAGTGTAGACCAGGGCTAAAGTCATAGGGATGCAGACAATATCTACTCTACTCCATCTCGTAGATTTCTGTAAGCACTGCAGTAATGCTTAAATGAGAATTTTTAAAAAAATGCTAAGGATCATTGGCCTGGGATATTCTCTATAATGATTAGTGAGTTTCAGAATTACATCTGAAATAATTTTGTAATGAAGTCTGTTCTTAACATGAATTGAATGATGTGGGCTGCAGCATAGAATATTTTTTGTATGCTGGAAAAAACTGCCAAAACCTAGAACCTAGTTTGTTAGACTTACTCAACTCAACTGTTTCTATCTTTCCTTTCAGTGCTTAGAAGGGCACTCCCTCTCCCTCCCCTCCCCTGCCCAATTTCTCATCAAGATACCTTTCACTTATCACTAAATTACATCTTCAAAGCACGAGTGCTGCTGTAGATGATCAGAATGGAGAAAGAAGGCACTTTTCAATTTAAAAATGCTATTACTAGTCTACAAGTACGGTATTTTTCCTTGCAGATTACTAATACTATACCTCTCTGGAAGTTTTTATCTCCTACTATATTCATCACATTCTGAACCTTCTTAGAGAAATGAGGCTTCTTCAAGTGCATTTGACAAGAGAGATAAATGATAAGTGCAAAGCATCCTGTCCTGGTGCATTGTAACTCATTTATTCATGAGAGTGTCACTGGTTGTCACATGGCTAACCACAACATTAGTTAAAGGAACAAATTCACTACCATGGATAAGAAAAGCAAAATAAAATAAAATATTTAAAATGCAGGTTTACTTTTGAGGATTCTCTTCTAACATTTGTAAAATGAAGTTAATGGAAAAGCAAATGGGAAGCTTCTACTTCTGCTTAAACTTGGTCAGACTTCCAACAGCGCACATAGAACTCTGTCTTGTATTCCTGCTCAGGAGACTATTCCCATTAACTAGTTACATAAATAAGGGCTGCAGTACTAGGCTCATAATGCTTGGGCAGATGTTGACCACCAAATTAATTTTGTTTCCTAAGTGTCTTCCTTTGCTGCCCCCTACTTTCTTCACTTCTACCTACCCAGATAAATATGGGCGACTAAGAACAAAACTTATTTGTTTATCCTTAGATTGGAAATTGATTTACAAAGTCCTTTGGAGCCATCTGTTCTAAGTCCATGCTATGGTTATTCACTTACTGTCATCATGCCATCTAGGAGACCAGTTTCTGGTTTGGGTGGTGCTTGTAACCTTTCCATTGACCACTTTTCAATAACTGATGAAACTTGTGGATTGTCAATGTTGAGCAGACGAAATCCGGTCATGTTTACTCCACTGTATCTGTAGGGTTCCAGATCTAATGCAAATAGATCCTAAATGATCATTTAAAAATAAAAACAAAATATTTTAAGATGTATTATTTTAGAGCAAACTGTTTGTCAGTTATAATCAATGCTTCTCAACGAAGGCTGAACTCTGCACTTTTTGTCATTTTCAATTAAATGCTGGTGTATATTGTTTTCCTTTGCATCTCTTCCCTCTGCTGTCTCGCAAGCACTAGTCACCCCTGCATTTGTGTATAGATTTTTTTTTTAAATAAATCTCATATCTGGTTTCTTGGAACATAATAATCAGTTCCCCATAACAGCACTATTTAACAAGCAAGCTGAACTTCAGTATCCAATTTTAATTTGTCAGTCTTCTCATAATGTTACAACTACAACAAGCCAAAATGAAGTAGTTTTTGGCCAATGTTAAGTGTACTTTTCAATCCCAGGAATGAAAATTCTAGGTGTGGAGAGTTTCTCCTGCCTTGCCAGCAACAAGTAACTTGCTGTCACCGTGCCTAACATATGTCAGGCCAGTGCATAGAACTCTATGGCTATGTCTGTACTGCACTGTTTTATGCAAGAAATATGCAAATGAGGTGAAGCGTGGCATATCACCGCACCTCATTTGCATAATTAATGAGCGGCTGCTTTTTGCGCAAGAGGGTTTGCGCAAAAAGGAGCCATCTACACAGCTCCTTTTTGTGCAAAACCCCCCTCTTGCGCAAGAGCCATTCTTCCTGAAAAGAATGCTGAAGAACGGCTCTTGCGCAAGTCTGGGGTTTTGCACAAAAAGGAGCTGTGTAGATGGCTCCTATTTGCACAAAAGCCTCTTGTGCAAAAAGCAGCCACTCATTAATTATGCAAATAAGAAGGGCTTGCCGAATCACGGAAAGCCCCGCTTGCCAGCCACGCTGTCCAGCAATCTGCACATGTGCAGATCGCCCAAACCCAGCTCTTCTGGGTTGCAGTCTACTCGCCACAGGCGAGTAGATTGCATTATTTGTCAAGCCCTGCAAATGATGCACTGCAATATTCCACACTTTGCCTCATTTGCATATTTATTGTGCAGTATATACATAGTCCCAGTGTATTAGACACTTGAAGTTTATAGGGCAGGAAAATAATGGCTACTGTAAGTGACAATTCTGTGACACTTTTCAAAACTATATGTTGTGCGGTAAAAATGAGACTTGTTTGCTAGAGATGAAGTTTTTTGCATTTCAGAAGAAAGTCTTGCTGATAGCAGCAGACCAGTGAAGCAACAAACGATCAGGTTGTGGCTGTGTACTGACATTACCTGTAAAGTGTCAACATTTACAATATCACAGCGATGTCTTGCTCTGAATGTAGAGGTCTGCAGGGGTACAAGTGTAGTGATACGCTTCAGATACTAATTACCTGTAAAGTGTCAACATTTACAACATCCCAGCGATGTGTGAGGGGTACAAGTGTAGTGATACGCTCCAGATACTGTAGCTTGCCAACTGTCTTGTAAGTATTGACATTATAAATTTGAATGAACTAATCTTTTACAAAGGAGAGAAGACCATAGTGTTACATATTTTTGGGAGGCAATTAGGGTAGATTGTATGGAAGGTTTTTCTAGATTCCATTTCAAGTTCTAAACATTTAGTACCTGCAGTTTTCAGACACACAATTTTTTTCAACCATTGCAACACATTTGTTTAAATAACTTAATCGTAGCCAGGCAGACGATGAAATTTTTGGGTGTAAAAAGGACAAAAATAATAATAATGCTGTAAAACTTAGAACAAAAATTCAATTTTCTCCAAATTTCAGTTGTGTTGACGTACCCCCAGATTTCTCTTGAGTACTCCTAAGGGTACTCCTACCTCTGGTTGAGAAATACTGGCCTAATCCACCACAGCTGTTGCCCTACAGTTGAAGGACCTTGACTATCTTCTTGCTGCATAACTGAGAAAAGCAGAGCAGAAGGAACAGAAAGAGAATAATTTTAGAGGCCCTGATTCATCCAAGTATTTTGGCATGTGCTTGACCCTCATTAACTTGGACTTAATCACATGCTTCAAGTTAGGTAGGTACGCAAGTTCTTTTATGATTAAGGGCTGAATTAAGCACGTGCTTAAAGGCTTTGCTGAATTCTGGCATTACCAAAACTGTACAGAAAAAGAGATAGGGCTTCATCTAGAGGACAAGGGTTCAACCCCAAATGGGGAAGTTTGGATTTGCTCCAAACATGAATTTCTGTTCTCAGGCCCATTTCTATAATTGGCTAACTCAGAACCCTACACCTAATCATCGGTTCTCTGCCAAATTTGGAGACATTTTCATCCAGACTTAATTGTTTGGCTTCATCGCTACACAAAGCACTTTCTCAAATGTGATTCTGTTAATGGGTATTTCATTTTAATTATTTTAACAAAGCAAAGTAAGAATTAGTGGGGGAAAGTATTGGCCAGTGCTACAACTTCAAAACCTTGGCTCCTGAAATAATAATAATAAGTAGTAGTTTTTTAGGGTGTGTCTAGACTACACCTCTCTGTCGGCAGAGAGATGTACATTAGGCACATTGAAATTGCTAATGAAGCAGGGATTTAAATATCCCTCGCTTCATTAGCATAAATATGGCCACCGTTTTTTTCGAAATGGAGCTTTTTCGAAAACAAGGCAGTCTAAACACGGATCTGTCGAAAATAAACCCTTTTTTGACAGATCCTCTAAACCTCATTTTTTGAGGAATACACAATCTGTTGAAAAAGGGTTTATTTTTGACAGATCCGATCTAGACTGCTGTTTTTCGAAAAAGCTCCTTTTCAAAAAAATGGCAGCCATGTTTATGCTAATGAAGCATGGGATATCTAAATCTCTGCTTCAATTTCGATGTCTTTGATTTGCATCCCTCTGTTGACAGAGGGACACAGTCTAGACATAGCCGTAGTTTTTTTTAACTGTAATGGTGACATTCAAAACTCAGAGGGAGATGCAAGTTTTCAGCTGTCTCCACTGAAACAATGTTATTGGCAAAACTCTCAGTATTTCTTACCAGTGTTGTAAAAAAGTAGTGATAGTATTCAGTCATCATTCCCATGGAAAGAATCTGTTGAAGAAAATCAAAGAGTGAAACAGACTTTCTAAATAGCCTGACTTGTGGTACAGGTTGAACTTCTCTAGTCCAGCAGCCTCAGGGCCTGATGCATGTCAAACCAGAGAATTTGCTGATGCACGCAAGATCAGTATTGTCTAGCAGCATTACCAACACTTCCACTGCTTACTGGGTTCTTGGAAGTCATTGACAGGCACTGCTTACTGGGTTCTTGGAAGACATTGACAGGCAAACTGGAGCTAAATAAGAGCACAGAACACTGAGAGCCAGGACTGGTGGCCGTGAACAAACTTTATGGGACTGCAAGAAACTTGATCACACCTATGATAAATGGATATCTGGCTAACTAAAATCAGGTCAGACTACAGATGTTGTTGGACCAGAGAGTGCTGGACTTAGAGAGGTTCAATCTGTATTTACAGATAAGGATCATGTCTACCTATCCCAAAATAAAGATCAAGAAAATGGCCATAATAAACAAGAGGAAAGACAGAGTTAATGGGAACCATGAGTGTTATTTTGAGGATTTAATATCTACATATTTGTCCACAAGAAACTTCACTGAGGCTTTGCCTACACTTCCAAGTTTAAAGCACTGCTACAGCAGTGCTTTAACACAACTGTGTGGTCATGGCAGCAGCACTGGAAGAAAGCTCTCCCAGTATGCTAGGTAAACCACCACCACAAGGGGAGTAGTTAACAGCACTGGGAGCCTATTTACACTTATTTTTTCACATCCTTGAGCAACAAAGTTACAGCGCAGTAACTTGCCAGTATAGACAAGTGCTGAAACTGCTAATTTATTTCATGTCCATTTCTGACCAACTATGCAATGGTAACCATTTTCATTTGCTATTGAGTGATGAATTTGAATGGATAAAATAGATATGAAAGATTTTGCACCCTCTTTGCTAATCCCCTAAGTCATCCATTACTGAATAAACCTATTGTTCAGGTAAAACCCTTTTTAAGGGAAGGATCACTGGCCAGATATGAGAGATTGTGTTGAACATGACAAAATCATTCTATCAACCTTTGATGGCAGTACTTAAAATGTTAAGTTAATATGCCCTCCATCTGGAAAATGGCTTTATGAGCAATAGGTAAATGTGGCCATGAAGATGAGATGAGTTTTTCTGAGTTGTAATTGCAGTTGCCAGTAACTTGAAACTAATAAGAGAGTTGCAGAATCAAAAGGCAACAAATTAATCCACTTATTTTAATGGATTTCCATTAACCTACATTCATATATCCAGGCTACATTTAGCACACTCTTCTTATACACAATGTCAAAGGAGGATTTTATGAATGCACTGAGATGGTGTTTAAGATGCCTATAATTGAGTGGGTGCCATAGATGAAATTAGTCTAGTCTTCTCTGTGTAGTTCCCAGGTGACACGTGTATATCCCAAAAATCTTGATCACAACTGGCACTAATCAGTACCTTGGCTTTTAAGTGCAAGAAAGTGTCCAATGACTTTGATGGCCAAATCCAAAGACAACTGAAAGCAATAAAAGCATTATCCTCGAATTCCAAAGACAACTGAAAGCAATAAAAGCATTATCCTTGAATTAGGGTACGTCTACTCTGCATGGCTATTTCAGGATACTGGAAGTACCCTGAAATAGCTATTCCACATCTTAATTATTTTGAAATATTTTTTGAAATAACAGGCACTATTTCGGCATCCCAGTAATCCTCGTTCCACAAGGGTTAAGGGATATCTTGAAATAGTGCATTATTTCAAAATTTGGCCCTGTGTAGATGTGCCAAATTTCAAAATAAGCTATTTCAAAATAGATTCGAAGTAATATGTAAGAAATTTGTGTAGCACAAATTCCATATCTTATTTCGAGTTAATGGTGCTGTGTAGACGAAACCTTACTGGGCTTCAAGTCAGGCCATGAATGTGCATGAAGACTGAACTCTTCTATCATTCATAAAGATAGTTCTTTCAAGTCTAAAGGTTTAAACACATTTATTCATCAATGGCTTGCACCTTTTATAATTATTTATATCTGTGCAAAATAACATTTCACACCTGAGTTGCACTACTGTAAAATAACTATATAATGTTCAGGGCAATGGCAAATCAATTTCACTATCAAGTTGTAAGGGGAAGCCTGTGCCATTAATCAAGCACAACTTGTTAATTAGGGACCTTTCATTTTGATTAATTTGCTTATTTATTCTAAAAATAATCCCCTCTTTATAGCAGGTTCACCTAGTACTTTACTTATTAAAGGACAAAATGAAATGCCACAAGAAATTTTTAAAATTTCCTGACATTTCTCTCTACAAAATAAGCAGGAGAATTTCTCTATATTGCTGTGATATCTAGAGCACAGGAAAGAAAGCCCACTGAAGTCCCCTTAAACAAAGGTGCACTACTGCAAGGTAGCTCTTCAAATGTGTCATTAGCTTTAAGTTTCAAAATATGTTTAGTAACTGGGTATGCAGTGGATCATCACAATGACTTCTCATCTCTGCATGCCTCCTTGCATCTCATTCCTGAGAACAAATACGGTTGTGTCATTGTATCACAGCTCCTAATAGACATTTGACCAGGTTACCAAAAGAGCTTTATAATTTAGCATGTGCTGCAGAAGATGGAGAATGGAGGGACTTTAATTACTCAAAAGCTTCAGAGGGGTAGCTGAGTTAGACTATAACAGGACATTTCTGTACCCAGATATTTCTGAGAAAGTTAACATGGCAACACACACACTTTCCAATAAATTCTTGGAATCTATTAGGAAAATGTTTGGTTCAGAAAGTGGAGGAAGTAACAAGGGGCAGATCCATTTTAGACTAGATTTTGACCATCAAGGAGGAAATGGTAGAGAAATTGAAGGCAGTAGGCTATTTGGGTGAAAGTGATCATGGTGATTTCGTGATTCTTGGATAGGAAGGAGTAAGAGTGCAGAATAAGGACAACAGACTGCAAAAAAAGAGATAATTTATAACAGTTTTCAAATATATAAAGGGCTATTATAAAAAGGACTGTAATCAATTGTTCTCAGTGTTCACTAAAGGTAAAGCAAGAATCAGTAGGTCTAATCTGTAGCAATGGAGATTTAGGTTAGCTATTTAAATGTTTTTCTTAACTGTAAAGGTAGTTAAACTGTTGAACAGATTTCCAAGGGAGGTTGTGAATCCCCATCATTGGAGTTTTTTAAAAACGGGCTAGACAAACACCTGTCAGGGATAGTCTAGTTTCGAGCTGGACTTGATGACTTCTCAAGGTCTCTTCCAAATCTACATTTCTGTGATTCTATGATAGGGATATTATAAGTTAGGAATACAGTACTTTGACAGAGCATTATCAATGCTTGCTTGCATATTGCTTATTCATTGTCAGTGCTATTATTTTGTTTCGTGAGCATTAAGTTACTAATTAATCAAATAATTAGATGCATTACCACCACTCTATTTCCTCAGACTACGAAGATAAGCCTTATTAAATATATCTCACCCACATACCCTAGATGCTGAATGTTCTTATGAAACAAAGAGAGAACTATATTGTGTAAATCCAGAGTACAGTAACGCCAAAGATTTAAATCAAGCTATTTTACATTTACTCTGGTAAAACTGAGTCCAATACATTGAGTTACCCTTCTCTGAATACACACTTAGTGTAGAATTCGGCTCCAAATTTACACAAACTTGGAGAAATGCTATAGTCTATGAAATATTTCAATCACAAAATAACTCTTCTATTAATTTCACTTTATACCATCACACACATTACTAAAACTTTGAACAAATATCTGTCATCTTAATTAAGTGACGCAAGTGTCACTATAACCTGCTGACCAGTGTGTGGTACACGTTTCCCTGTGTGCTTGTTCCACAGCGGATGGAAGTTGTATAGCCGCTAGTTACAGTACCTGGCTCTTCAGCCTAAGGATGTTAAATTGCGGTTAGCTGGCTAATCAGGTAGTCGATACAATTTGTATCGACTAAACGATTAGTAGATAAGGGCCACTCTGCAGATTGCAGTGGGGGTAGCTCCTGGAGTCAGCTGGAGCTGGGACTCAGCACTCCTGGCTCAGGCTGGCTCCAGGAGCCACCGGACTCTTACTACATTTAAAATGCAGAGGCACAGTGTCCTGGACTAGTGTGAGCCCAGACTGCTCGGTGCTGGCTTGCGCCGAGTCCAGCAGCCCCTGTTCACAATGGCCAGGGCTGGCTAGAGGTAGAGGTACTCCAACAGCAGTCCCTGCATGTGGCCTGCCCTGGCCACTGCTAACAGAGGTTGCTCTGGCAGCAACACTGGCTCCTGTCCCCCCCGTCTTGCTGCCTGTCATACAGAAGCAGCAAGGGGAGCTAGCAAATAATTGAGTAGTTGACTACTCCCTAACATCCCTACTTCAGCCCAAGTTGTGGAGACCAATGCTCTTAGTTCTGGAAGCCCCTAGTTCAATCTCATGAAGGTCACCAAAGGTGGCAGTTGCCAGAAAATGAAGATTTTGCCTCATATCTGAAAATATTAGTTAGCCTAGAAGTACCAGCCTGCTCTCTCCCTGTCTCTGAGTCTGCTGGATGTAGAGACTCCTCGATGCACCTAGCATACACAGCCATAGAAGGTGCTCACTTTTCCAGTGGGGCACTGTGCACATAGTTGCAACCACCTAATGCTGTCTTAGGGCATGTCTACACTAGGAAATTATTTCAAAATAACTTAATTCAAAATAATTCCTAAAATAACAAAATTGAAATAGTGTGTCCCTACTATGGGGGAGCCTCAAAATTAGTCCGAGGCAGGCTCCATTATTGTGGACGTGCTACCTCGACTTATTGCCCCAGGAAGCACTGGGAAGTAATTACTTCAAATTACTCTAGGGAGTAATTATTTTGAAATAGCAGCAGCGGAGAATCCACACTATGGCTATTGCAAAATAGCTATTTCAAAATTATCATTATTTCCAGAGAAAAGCAGAAATATAGATTTCAAAATAACCAGCCCATTATTTTGAAATAACAGGC